TGGCTTGCGAAACGGATGACAAAGCTTAAGAGATGGATTGCAAACGAGGTTTTAAGCAACAAAGGTGTTCGCCACTAACCAAAATTAAGGAAACTAAAGATTCAAATTAAGGTGGTGAGATAGATAGGTTTGGTCACAACGAAGTTCAACACTAAAACCGTAGGTTAACAAAACAAGAGACAAGTCTTAGAGATAGGTTGAGGGTTCACAAAGGTAAGACAAGAAAGAAAGATAAGGTGATAGATAAAAGATTTACCGGAAAGGAAAGCTAACTTTACACCGAGCCTAACTCCTGCTCAACACTAGCCAACGATCTACACGAAATGAGACGGCTCAACTAAGGAACAAGCCACGAACAGAAACTGGCACCACAAAAACCCTAAGCTAGATCACTCTGGATCACAGAACCAGGGTTGCATCTTCAACTGATCTCCGCAGATTTCTTCAACCAAAAGAAGCAAGGTACTCACACTACACCACTTGATCTCGGCATCTACTTGAACTTGATCCGTCACTTCCGACAAAGGTTACAACTGCTGGATGCAAAACACGAGTTGGATGTCCTTCCCTCCGGCTCTTGGGCTAACTTGATGCAGGCTACCGACTTAACACTTGCTCTAGCACACAACCCGCTACTTGTTGCAAGGAAAAGCTTGAAAACTTCAAAGCTTCGGTTCGGGGGTAAGGTCCAAAACAGGAATGGTAACACTGGAGAAGGGTAACTAAGGGAAACGAAGGCTCACAAGAAGAGAATCGATTCAACGGAAAAGGTTAGAGTGAAGAGTTTAGGTTCAACAATTCGAGGACCATGTTGGTTAAGAAGAGGAGAATTGTGAACAAGCTACAACTCAAGGGGTAAGGAATCAAAACGAGGTTTAAGGGAGTTGAGAACGATGAAGGGTCTAGATATTAAACCCAAGAACACGGTGGTTGGAAAGGAAAAGAGGATGAGAGTTTAGGTTCCAAACTTGAGGACGACGTTAATTAGGATTATGATCAAAGTCATCAAAGTTGCAACTTAGGAAATAAGGTTTCCACCTTGCACAGAATCGTTAGAAACGAGAAATACAAGAACGAGGTTTAAAAATGATAGATAAGGATTTCCTAACGGAAGAATTCTAGGTTTAGGTTCAAGGATAGCATTGATTTGAAAGGGAATCAAGATTTTTCAGTGTCACAACTTAGGAAAGATGAGGTTGTAACCTTGAATAGAATCAAATCAAGAAGAAAACAAGAACGAGGTTTGAAAAGATAGGAAGGATTTCCCAATAAAAAGGCTTTTGGGTCCGTCAAGGTAAAGAGACGAAAACGGCTTAAAGGGGATTAGGAATTAGACAAGGGTAAGAGAAGAGGATCGGTTTCAAGAGGTGAAAAGAGTTCACGACTACCGGCGAAACATCGGCTCAGACGCGGCTTAACTCTTAGACTTTGCCAGATTCCTTCATAAGCTGAAGTCACTGCCGTCTTGCACAAGACGGTTTGGACAGGAAACAAGAGCAAGGTTTGGAAGAAAGGGATCACTTGGAAAAAGGGTGATTGGGTTTGTCTAGGGGAAAGAAAAGATTAACGAGGGTCAGAGGTGACTCTCGAACAAGCTAACACCTAAAACATTCACGCAAGGAAGGGCACGAAGACAAAGGAAGGTGCAAAAAAAAAAAAGGGTACAAGAACTTACTTCAACGGTTCTTACTTGCATCCGCCTCACTACTGAGGATCTTTCCTTGCTGAGGTCCTGGCTTGGTACACAGGTCCTGAATGCCACATCCACTTAGTCCATTATTGCTTCCACTTTGACGCTTACTTCCTGACCGGGGCCCCACATAAACAACTGGTTTCGAGTCCGCTGAAGTCTTCCTCTTAACCTTGCACTCAAAGGACTTGTGACCTTTCTTGCCACAAACAAAGCATTCTATCGGTTTCCCATGACAGTCCATGCCAGGGTGGTAACATCCACACTTCATGCAAACGGAGCACTTTCCTTTAGCCTTGTTGTTCTGGATTGGCCGGGGAGTCTTACCCCTCACAGAGTCGTCTCTTTGCAGGCTTCTTGTTGAATCAGCACCAGAAACCATCAAACTCCTATCCGCATGTGAAACACCTCCCTCAAGCTTACTCTTACGGTTCTTCAGGATTCCCTTCTGAACTTGCTGTACTCGGTAGGGGTCGGCTGCACGAAGGTAGGCCTCCTTGACTTGAGCAGGATAAAACCGCTCACGTAACTTAACCTTCAGGTCTTCCCAACTGAACTCTGGATCTTGTCTACAAACTAGCCTTTCAAGCAACCACCACGAGTCCGCTTCTTGCCGAAGGTAGAACGTAGCTAACTTCACCTTGCTATCCTCCGGGCAAGCCACTACTTCGAAGATCTTGTCAAACATCCGCCTCTACTCGTCTAGCACTATGGGATCTTGTTCACCGGCGTAGGTCGGGGGATGGAGACTTGAGACTTGGTGTACTACGTCACGATTCCCATTCTGAAGAGGGTGGTTATTAAGGAGAGCGTTGCTTAGCGTCTGGGTGATCTGTGTCAGTTGATGAAGGCTTTGAGCTAGCTGATCATTGGTGATCGCTTCTGAAGATCTTGCACGACGTCTCGATGGTGCCATCCTTGACTTCTACAGGAACAGCATGATACCGGGAGGAAACTTAGGGCCCGCACCCTTACCTGGTGCCTTAACTAAAGAGAACCAAAGCTGAAAAGGAAACAAGCACATAAAACACAACAGAAAACAACACAAGAACTCAAAACCTCACTGCGCGTCCTAAAGTCCTAAGCCTAACACTTAGATTCTTAAGGTCGCTTAAGGGTCTCAAACCACACTTAACCACTTAGAAAGTCTAGACTTAACTCTTCCTAGGCACAAACCTAGGCTCTGATACCAACTGTAACATCCCCAAAACATGCTATATAAAAAGCCTTAACACATGCAGATAACACAACTAAACACTAGCACAGCGGAAGATTAAAAGATAACTGGATAAAAGTAAATCCCAGTCATGGGGTGTCACGCCACGTTTACCCACAATGATAAACGCTACGGCAAAATCTGCATGGTTCACAACTATCCCAAAACTCACAAGTTTATCACTACATCGGCTCACAGGCCGTAAAGCAAATGAAAGGTACTATACTATCGGGAACTAGACTCCGCTCTCGTCTAGACATCACCTGTAAGAACACAAATAAACATGGGACGACGCCCGGTCAGAGAATAATGCTGGTAACCCACCAATACATGTTAAGAATCATACATTGATAGGATATATATAGAAAATCATTTCGAAACGGAATACATATATATAAGTGTAAAACCAAGAGTAAACACCAACTCAAGACTCATCACTCTCAAAGATAACACGGGAACACATCCCAAAACCACAAAGGACAACAACAACTCAAGGATAAAGACACGACAAATGACAACACATGCCTAGGCACACATGCCTTTGTGACTACACACGTCACAAGAAGAGAACACACAACCACGGCTACACAAGCCCTCGTGACATCACACATCACGAGTTGATATGCCTTCCTTATGCCCTTTTCCAACCTTATGGCTACCACCAACCTTATATCTAGTTCCAACCTTTACCTCCAGGACCCATGTACACCAAGTCCAACCTTATTCCCCCGGGAACCGTCGTTCCCCCTCCAACTGTCCCTCAAACAAAACCACCGATTTCATAGTACACGAGGATACCATTCACACACACGGCAACACATGCCTCCCAAGAATCACGTGAACCTTACACAAAGGTCACAACTCCATAATCGCATCACGGCCACTACGAGGACCGCTGTCGTACCTTTGTGATTAAGGCCCCATAAACCGAAATCGTGCAATCCAGGTACAGCCACACACACATCACACCTCAATAAGAATCGATCAACGGATCTCAACGAAGGTATGAAACCATACTCAATATAGGAATGGGTCACAGCCCAACAACAACAACGATGAATAACACAAGTTATCATTAACCAAACGGAAGGTACAAACAACACACACGCTTGCATTTAAACACCGAACTAGCACGCTAAACAAATGGGTAAACCGAAAGTAGTTCCGAGGAACACACAAGACTCATCACGGTTCAACGAAACACAATGTTGAACTCTTAGCACGATTCAAGATGCCAAATACCTACATGGCTTCCTACCATATAGTTCTAGACATACGAAACATCAAGAAGACACTCAAATAGTTCCACAAAAGAACATCGGGAAGTCAAAAGACCAAATACTGAGTAAAAAGAATCACGGGGAACAAATCCCCAAACATCACCACACACGTACCCGCGCACTACAAAAAAACACAAGAATAGCGACGGACGAATTCCGTCGCTAAATAGTGAAAATCCGTCGCTAAAGTATTTAGCGACGGAATCCGTCCGTCACAAAAACCCTCCTCGCTAAAAGTTAGCGAGACAAATATTTTTCCGTCGCTAGACTTAGCGACGGAAATTTCCGTCGCTAGCGGAAATATATCCGTCGCTAAATTCCTTTCGACGACGGATCCGAAGAGGACTATTGCGAGCGAATAACGACGGAATAATTCGTCGCCATAATTAGCGACGGAAATTCCGTCGCGGGAGCAACAAAAATTCCGTCGTTAAATTGCTACTACTATGCTCCGGCGACGAGATTTACAACGGCTTAGCTACGGATATTTCCGTCGCTAAATATAGCGACGGACATGACCGTCGCTACCGTCCGTCGTTAAAATAACGACGAAAATTATCCGTCACTATTCTTTTATTATTATTTGAATTTAATTTAATTTAACTATAACTTAGTGACAAAAATATCCGTCGCTAAATTTAACTACGGATTTTTCAGTTGCTATTTCGTTACATTACTACCATATTTGTCCGTCCCTAAATTTTGAAAATTAATAAAACAATTATACTCGCTAATTAATATCAGAAACATGCATTAAGCCTATAATATAGTACTTGAATAATATAATTATAAAATATACTATATTAAAAAGCATTCAAAGTGAATAGCAACAACAAAAGTGTTGTAGTATAATGTTACATCATTAGAACCAGTACCAAATATATTAATAAACTTAATCAAATCATCTCCTAAGGTTTCATCATTTGAATTAGCCGAATGTTGAGCTTGAGTACTTGGATTGGATAACATGCCATTGGGCGACGCAACTCATCCATCAAACTTGCAATTTGAGCTTGCATTTGAACCTGCATTTGAGTTCTTTCTTCTTCTCTTCTCTTTTGATGATGAATAATAATTATCCTCTGCAACTTAAACAAGTTCGGGTTCCTGCATATTCAAGTAAATAATTGAGTCTGCAAAATATTCAAGTAAATAATCATACTCTCATATCATTGGATCTAGATATCAGAAGTGACTGTCATATATTAATCCATTATTATCATCATCATCATCTAAGAAGTGAAACCAACCAATGTGTTCCAGTTATAAGAAATTTATTAAAATACATTCATATATATAAGCTTTATTCTTTTTGAGCATTCTTCCAGTAAAGTTGACAGCACTGTTCTTTTTGAAGGTGTGCAAACTAATGAAGAGAATCAGACAAACACCAAAACAGATCCCCTCTTAAATCTCTCTTTCTACCCAAAGCCTAAAAACCCCCCACTACACCAACCATCTATTCCATTCCATTTTCTCAATCCCAATAATTTTATTCTTCTATATCAAATAACATAATTTGAATTCCATACTTTATTCTCACATTATTCTTTTTCTACTTTTTCTCCTAATTCCTTCCCTCTAACCATAATTCTTATACTTAGCTATCTCTGTCACGTCAACTAGATTTGAAGTGTCATGTCACTAATATTTTATAATGTAATCATTTTAAGAAAATTTAAATATGTTGTGAAACAGAATGACAGCACATGAAACAGTTTCTCATCACAATACATTGCATATTCAAGTAAAACTGTAAAAGAAGAAGTAGAAGAAAAAAAGAAAAGGCGAAATTCACCAAATTATCATGTCTGTGCAGAAGATTCTCATTCGTTTTAAAGGATAAGGTGCACTGAGAATGCAGATCAAAATTTCTCAGTATATAGGTAATAGGACTATATGTCCAGTCCAAGCTTCTTTACAAAGGCATTTGTTATACCCTACTATCAGTCAGATTCGATACACATTATCGTTTCAATTCCAATGTTTGAACCAAATGCCACTGAGATGTTTCAAACATATCCACTAAAATCTGCATGTAATAGTAGTAGAACAAAAGAAGTACAAATTAGGAATTAGGATGAGTCTACTTTCATCATATCAGGATTAAGGCATTAAGACAAGAATAGACTGATGATTGATTAGCAACCAGCTAGCTAGCACTAATTAGGGCCAGTTCAGAAACTTATAACCTTGAAGAGAAGGTGGCAAAAAAGTCTGGGATGAATTAGGATTGTCAGGTGTATAAATATATGATGGATTGGAGGATATAATTGCTGCATGTGAAAGCTAAAAACAATGAGCTTAAGATACATAATTATAGCTACACAATCTCATAAGGATTGAGATGTGGACCAACAACAAATAAATTAGTAACACTTCAATAACTGATAAAATCACAAGAAGGATAGTAACTGGATGTTTGATAGATATTAATTAAGTATTCGGCATATGATAATGCTCTTTTTGATAGATTCGAGAAAGAAAACACTTATAAGCTAGGACTATAAAATTATGAAACATGCTGCAGGCGAGGCAGCGTAGCAGCGACAAGAGCAACAACCTATCAGAGGGGAAGTAAATACCTACAGATGTAAAGATAGTAGAAAAAGAAGCAAAGGGGTCCGGGGGCTTCTTTAGTGGCTTCATCATCTATCTATCCACAGATTCTACATTATTCTGTATCAGTTTAATATATTACTTTTAAGAGTACTAAAGCCAAATGATCACCCCTTTACCATGCAAATAGTATATCCACTATCAAATTATTAAAATATCGAAGTATATTTAATAATTAAATTTAATAGTGGGCATATGATGAAAATTCAGTAACTTAATAATTTAATTTGAACTTTTTATGCAATGAAACTTGGTGGACAATAGCTGAAAAACATGTTTAGATGGAAAAGTACCAACTTCCAAACTATAAAGGTGAAGTACCAAAAAAGGATAAAACTATATATAGAAGACAAACTGCAAAAAGCCCTAAATAATTTTACCTGAGTTCTATAACCAGAATAAAATTAAAGCTAATCATAAAAATAAATTTTCTAAGTACCTGAAATGAGCATATGAGTACCCTCGATAGAAAACCAACTTTTTCTGTTTCAGATGTTCATCGATCCAACTTGCCCAGGTCTTCAAGGCTCTTCTATAAGCTTCAACTGCATCAAATTTGGGGTAAATATACTCACCCTCCTTATAGTAATTTTTCCTGTAATATAGGAACACATATCAGATACCTTTCAATAGCTACTTACACAAATCAAAGCCATGCTTGGAATAGATTACAAAGTACTAATTTCTCAGCTGCATTTCAGTATCATGCTATGTTTTTAAAGTAGTTAAAAGCCATTCATGTGTCTAGACTAGACTAGAAGCAAGAAATATATCATGCCCTTGAAAAAGAGAGAGAAAAAGGAAACGCACACATACAAGAAGCAATGAGAGAATCATTCATTGCCTATATAGCAGAGTTTCTGTCATTTCGAATTATTGTTTGCTTTCAGATGAGATTTCAAATAGGATTTTCTACTTAGCTCATTTGAATCCTAATCTTGGGGGAGAAGTGAGAAGGATGAGTTTGGTCACCCAAACTTGATGAGAAGATCTTCCTCATCAGAAACTATATCTTTAACACATCATTTCTATCTTCCACAAAAACATCCCTTCTTTCACCCATCAAACAGATAGATAGATAGATAGATAGAGACACAGAAAAGAACTAAAGTATACTATTTGCTTTTCCACAAGTTCTGCATGTTAGTGCCATATATTTAGTTTATAACCATGTGATGTGGCTTGACATGATGTCAAATGAACTCTAATTTGACCACTATCTAGAAGATGGCTTTAAACAGTGATGCATATTCCAAACAGCAATTGCATATCTTGATTTAAGACCACAATTAATATTCCCAGCTAGTGTCATGCATTTTCTTTTTGTAACTACACCTGCTATTTAGGATTTCCACAGCATTAAAGGATATAAGGGGTTTCAACTGTCATACATAATTTTCCAGGCTAAATAAAGAGACAGTATCTAAGCATTAACATTTGAAACAAGCAAGAAAATAGCAGCAAAATATAATGGAGGTAATATTGCTTATACCTCAAGTTTCTTTGCAATTTCACCGGGTTTGATCAGGTCCTTCTTATTCAAAACCAGCAATATTGGTAATCTATCTTTTAGTGTTCCAACACCCTCATACAGCACTTCATCAATCTACAAGACAGAAAACAGATAATTTAAGTACTACACACGATGTTTTTAGCCAAAATACAAACAAAGGTGCATACCTTTTCAGGAGCCCTACATGCATCACTATTTTTTGATCCAAGTATAGCTCTAATCTTCTTAACTCTAAAGTCTTATGTTTTTAAACTTTTACTTTTTATTTATTTGATTGGCCCTGATTACACTTGTTCCTTAAAAGAAGTCATTAAAGACATCAAAATGACCAAAATTGTTGTTTGCTTGACCTTGATTTAAAATGTTAATTTACTTGTTAGAAGAACCAGACATCAAGTAAACAAATCATGATCTTCAAAAATAAAATGCAGCATCAATGAATTACATCTTGAAGAATCACTATCGTTCCAAAGATCACCTCAAATCTCAAAAACAAACTAAATTAACATTTTCACTCCCAACCTTCTGCCATATCCTCCCAACATCTCTCCAAATATAAAATAAAAACAAAAGGATGGAGCTGATTGTTGACAGAAAACTGGGTATAAAATAATTTTTGCTTTTCTATCCCTATTGTGTACTGAAGAAAATGCAGACAAGAGGAGAGAAAACTTTATTATAATTTATATTTGGTGGATTCCATACTTTTGTAGATTAGTGTTACAACCCTTGTGCATTTATGTTGAACAAAAATGTGTCTTTCCAATGCAAACTATTCTTGTTCTTTTGTAAAAATATGGCTATTTGGTGTGAATATGTTATATGTGATAATGAATCCAAGTATGTAGTTCAAACCAAACAGAATCAAATCCCAGCCAAAATTGAACTCTTTAAAATTGAACTGAACTACAATGTTATGGTTTTAACCAAACCAAAAACCAAAATGTCCATTCCTAATCAGTACAGTCAAAGAACCAAAATGGGTAGCTTAGTTAAACAAACAAAGACCGCATATAATATTAGCCTGACCAAATATTTAATTGCTTGATACATAATGTAGAATGCAACAGTAATGGTATGTTAAACAGAGTTTCGAGTTTGGCAATTAGAACAGTTTAAGCAGCTTCTGTGTAATTTAGACATTAGGAGAGATCAATAAACGGAAGTCTTACAGTTACTGCTGCTCCACGTTCAATTCCATGGACCACAAAGAGAGCAATTGCATAACTGGGCGAAGAGGACTGGAAAACTGGGCGAAGAGGACTGGGCGTATCAGCATCAATATCTACAATCTGGAAATAGATAATTTCATAACACAATCTGGAAATAAATAATCCAAAATCAATCTGGGCGAAGGGTGGTGAACTTGAGGACTGAACCGGACGGTGGTGAACTTGAGGGTGCAGTTCGCCGGAGGGTACTGTTCGCCGGAGGGTGCAGATACCAGTCGACGGTGGTGATATGGTGAAAGGGGAGACAACTTTAGCTTGGCGACGTTCAGAGCGTGAGAGAATAGGTCAAAGTGAGAGATTCCAAAACCCTTAGGAGTTAGGACTACAACTTTATGAAACCTAGCGACGGATTATAAATTCTGTCGTTATATTTTATTAAAAATAAGATTCAATATAAACTAGACTCCTACACTTAGCGACGGAATAACAAATCCGTCGCTAAGAAATCTTTAAAAAAAAATTAGTTTAAAAATTTAACGCGTCGCTAAGGAAATCTTCGAAAAAACTATGTAGGCATCTTAGCGACGGATTTGTCGGTCCGTCGCTAGGCAAATGATACCCGAAAACAATCTTACAAATCTTAGCGACGGATTTCACCGTCCGTCGTAATATAGCGACGGATCAACAAATCCGTCGCTAAGATGTCTAAATCCGTACAAATTTTAGCGACGGATATCCGTATCCGTTGCTAAACTTGAATCAGGACACATACCACTTGAAAGAGTAGCGACGGATATATATTTCCGTCGCTAGTCTGTAGCTATTAAAAATAAAAAAATTAACCCGCGAAATTTCCGTCGCTAATCTCTCTCTAAGATTTGCGCCAAAAATTCCCGCTAATAATAGCTACGTATTTAACGACAATAATGTTCCGTTGCAATATCCGTCGCCAATCCGTCGCTAGGCCGTCGCTATATTTCTATTTCACAAAAAAATTAAAATCGGTCACTAAGTTGTCGCTATTCCGTCGCTACATTAGCAACGGAATGCATCCGTCGCTAAATCGGTCGTTATTTCCGCATTTTTTTGTAGTGGCGGGTAGGCCTCTACCCGCATGTACAGGGTGCCCGAGATTTGTACCCCGTGGGTGGGCGGCGGGTTGGACGCCTACCCGCCGTTCCGCCCGCGGGTACAACCCTGTACCACAACAAATCCCTTCGGGGATTTTCATCTCCAAACACAAATTCAAGTCCAAAACATGCCAAAACTCACCCAATACAACAAAATGACTTGAATCAAAGGAAATTCCAAGCAATGGCACATATGAACGCTAAACACAAACTCTAGATGTGCATTTTCACAAGACAAATGCCTAAACTCTGACATTTCATAGCAAAACACAAGTAGAATCCAAGAAATCACATATAGGTAAGCAAAATAGATTTTGTAGAGCATGGGTTACCTCTTGAAGACTAAAAACCTTCACTTTACACCTTAATAAGCTCCTCACAAGGCTCACCTTCCAAACCCACTTCAAAAACACACCAAGAGATCATAAAGATCCTACCTTTAAGAAAAGACACCTAAGATGAAACCAAAAACACAAGATGAACTTAGACCTTCCACTCCTAGATGCCCAAATATGTGAAAGGTTGAATCTTGGAAGGAACTCTTGAAGTTTTGGCAAGGCTCCAACTTGGCTTGGAAGAAAAGCTACCCACCTTTTTAGAGAGAAGGTGGAGCTAGATTTTTAGAAGGTGTAAGGGATAGAATGAAGATGTCTACTAGGTTAGGTTACAATACTAACACTATGTGTAAGGTCAAGAATGCCCTTACTAACATTAGGAAATGTAAGGAACAAGGGAACTCCCTTCAAAGCTCAAGGTACAACTTGACTTTGGAGTTGACTAGTCAAATACTAGTCCTCAAGTATTAAATTTCAGGATTTTAGGAATTAATTGCTCAATTCAAATAGGATTAATTACTCAATTAATCCATGAATTGAATTTGGATTTCGGGGTGTCACATTTTCATATGCGGATTTTGCAGGTTGCAAAATAGACAGAAAAAACACTTCCAGGACATGCCAGTTCTTGGGGGGAAGGCTTGTTTCTTGGTTCAGCAAAAAGCAAAATTCCATCGCAACTAGTACCGCCGAGGCCGAATATATTGCTGCAGGAAGTTGTTGTGCACATATTTTGTGGGTGAGGCAACAATTGAAGGACTACAGAGTTAATGGTGATGACATTAGTATTTATTGTGATAATACTAGTGCAATCGCTATCACTCACAATCCGGTGCTTCACTCAAGAACCAAACACATCGACATTCGAAACCATTTCATAAGGGATCACGTTGAAAAGAAGAATCTAAAGATCGAGTATATCCCTACGGAAAACCAAGTTGCTAATATTCTCACGAAGCCTTTATGCGAAACGAGATTTTCAACCTTAAGGCACGAGTTGGGAATGATCGAAATGAGCTAAGTATCACTGGACTTATTCTCTCAATTTAAATTGATACTTGTGCTCAAAATAAATTGTTTTATGTGTTTATATGCATGTTTTTATTCGAAATTTTTATGTGATAAAATTGCAATATGTGTTAAGAATTTATTTGTATATTTGCATATGTTATTTAACGTGAGATCATATGCCATGCAAATTAATTTGATAAAATATGCAATTCGTGATTTATTTGATAATTTGTTTAAAATTGCATGTTTTATTGTGTTAATTAGTTTATAAGTATGTGTTCATGCTTTTATAAGTTGATTAATTTGTTTGCATGAACAATTTGCCTAAATATGTGATTTACAGCGTTTATTTAATAATATATGTGTTTCGTGCATATGTGGTTTATGTGTTATAATTTGATATAAAATGTTTTAGAAATCTGAGCTAAAAGTTGTTTTTGTTAGTTTCTAAAATTTTTAGAATCTGATTTGCATGTAAAAGTTAGATAAAGATGTTTCTAATTATAAATTTGGAATATGTGTGTTAATTTTGTTAATTTCCAAAATTTGTTTGTTTTGATTGGTAATTGCCGTATATGTATTTAATATATATACATCTATCCACCCATAAAACTCCTACCCTTTCTAAACCTCCTCCCAACCTAAAACCTCCCCCCATAATCCTCTCCTAGATCAAATCTATCCAAACAGATTTACCCCCTCTCTCTCAATCGACACCCACATCTCGCCTGTCAGTAAAATCACCCCCTCAATTGATCCCCATAAACAAATCTCAAGGAGATCAGAACCCAAATCCTTTCTTAATCTCTAAGTGTCTCTTCAAATCTCCACCCTCTACACCTTACGTGCATAGGGTATTTCTAAAGAGGTGTGAGCATTAAATGCTCTTGTCTGATAATGATGACATTTTATCTTTCCTTGTAACACCATCTATCAAGATGACTCATCTACCCTAAACTCACCCAATCGACACACCTCAACCAAAGGGTACAATTTAGAAGTCTCATCTCTCTCTTAAATTCGAAAACCCCCTTCGAGTCACCCTCCTCATATAAACCCCTCATCTATCTCTCAAAAAACTCTTTCAGTCCTTCAGAATATCAGAAAACTCTCTCTTGAAACCGATCTGATCATCATGGCTCAATCTGGAAGAAAGCAAATCGATACTATTCTGTCCCTCTCACAACAGATATCTAATGGGATGGTACTCAATCCTGAGTTTTTCAAACTAGGTTCTTCCAACAAGTACACGGCCGAGAAAATTTGTCAAGCTCTAAAAGACTGCGGACTATTTGATTTCTTCACCTTCAACTATTTTGGAACTTTTGAAGAAGATGTAGCTGAATTTTATCTACATGCAGTCATGGAAAAGGATTCGAACAAATCTAGAGTTGGAGGATCAGAAGTTTCAATAACTGAGAATGATATATACAAGTGCTTCAGTTTTCCTGAATCTCAGTTCATGCTAGAATCTCACAGCTATGTTGTTCAAAATTTTTGGAACGAGATTCGTGGTCCTACGGCTACAATATTTTCTGATGTTTTCGGTCACAAGAATGTATTGAAGATTGAATATGAGATGTTGGTGGACATGATCTATAAAATTCTTGAAAATAAACTGGGAAGTACTGAAGATTTGATTGCATCAACCGTATGTCTGATGGACGGTATTATGAAAGACAAGAAGGTGGCAGTTCTACAAGTTCAAAAACACCTCAGAATTCCAGACCGAGAAACAGCAAGGCAATCTCAGCCTCAAGTAATCAGATGGGATCAAGCAATCGATCAGGAAGATATCAAGAAGCCATCAGTACGGCTATGGCAGTTCTTCCACTCAAATATGTCAAACCAAACATGTTAGCCGAAGGAGTTGATGATATAACAAGAATGGAATTTGTAGGAGTTGATGTGCAAATTTCAAATGATCTACAAAGGAGACTCTCGAGTCACTCTGCTGCCGAAGGAAGTGCAGGACCTATAGTATTTGACTCAGAACTCATTCAAGATGATCCAGAATTATTGAAGGAGTTAATGCAAGTGCAGACTTGGAGAGAATGGAAACTTGAAAGATACCATTCTTTCATGTCAAAAATCACCCCAGATTTGATACGGAGTGAAGATTTTTCCTTGGAATGGTGCGGAACTAATGTGATGTTAGATGCATTCAACATGGATTTGAATCAAGTATATCACATGAAGCTACATGAAAAAGCAAATAGACGCAAGGGAAAAGCACCAATCAGAGAAGGAAACACGGCTCAAGACCGTTTAGCCGAGCAAGAAAGACAGAATGAAATATCACTTCAGTTAACTCTACAAAGGTCAGTCTATGACACACACCATTATCCAGGTAACACATCTCTTGTGGATAATGAAATTTTTGATGAAAGAATTGAAGGAACGACACTCATTGATGTACCAATCATGAGCACTGAAAGTTATATGGGCATACCTGTGAAAGTCCATGATGCCTCTCTTTTAATATCTGATCTGACCCCCACAACAATTAATGTGAATCTTGAGTGCAATGAAAGATTTGTGGGATCTGATGAAGCCGAAATGTCAGTACGAGAAGAATTTAGAGGAGAAATGTCAGAACAATTGAGAAGAGATATACCAATGGAAGTTGCAGTAGAAGTTGCTACTGAGAATAGGGAGGAATTATCTAGTGTACTGCCAGTACACAATATCGAGACCACCATACCCATCATGGACCCTGCTTCGGAAAATGAAGATTTATTTGCAGACAATTATACGAGAACAGAAGTTTTAGAAGAAGGAATTAGTGATCTCAATCAAGAAGCCGAATCACCTGAAGAAGAAGGGATGCAATGTAACACCCCCAAAACAAGACCTAAAAACAAGTCTTAACA